CACACACACACACACACACACATACACTGTCTCTCACACACACAGAGGCATGGAGGCTTTCCCCTAGGTCACACTGCAGATCTTAGTGCGTAGAGAGGAAGGGTAATGATGAGAGAGAGAATTAAGGAGTGTTTTCCTGTGTCTCACTGCCTCTCACAGAATGGTAGCTGAAACATCAAAATTGGCATCTGGCATTTCTCAGATGTACAGATTTGGGGGCCACTTTGTGATTTAGCAAGCCTCTGAGATGTGGCATGGTTCTGCTGCAGGCTGGGGAGTTTGAATGCCGTCCTACATGCCAAGTGCAGCAGGCCCCCTGAGTGCATGCCTCGGTCTGTTTTCTGGCCTCTGTCCTGCTCGGTCCTTACTCTTTGTGCTGTACTTGCTGTACCCCTGGGGTTCCCTCCAGATGCTGCCAGTCTCTGCCTGGGTGCTCTGCCCTTTATACCTGTTAGGCATAATTTTGGGTCCCAGAAACAGAAGCAGAGCAAAACCTTGCCTCTCTGGAGACTATCTTCAGGGATTCCCTCCTCTGAGAGCGAGAGAGCTGTGAGCCTCTTTTTTCACAGTCTCAGAGGCCTGCCCGTGGAGCTGTGGAAGATTTCTTTTTCCCCCATAAGTTTGGCAGTTACTGGAGAGGGGTTGGCTTGTTCTCCCTGTGCCAAGTTCATTGACAGCAATTCTCTGTCATGCATTTCCAGTCACCTCGACTTGTACAGAGCGACGCCATCTAGAAGTGGTTTTCGTTGACTGAATTACTGGTACCAGTGGATTCATTTTAAGAGACGGGACTGTTACAGTGAGCCACGGGCTAAGCCAGACTGGGCTTCTTCCACAGTGTAAAGGCTTGGCTGTGTTGGATCTCACCTTCAGAACTGGAGGTGGTTGGTTGCCCAATATGTCTTACTCCCATCATCTACCTGTAGACCTGTCTTTTATTTTCAACCATAAACTATGACTCTCCCGTCTTTCTGAAGGAAAGTTGATCAAAATCGAAACCACTTTTGTTAAGTGGATAACTGAATGGTGTTCTTGAGTGGGGATTGTTGGTAGGTTAGGCAGTGGTTTTGCTAGCATCCTTCCTGTTAGCAGTATTTAGGTTGGTGTCCGAGAAGAGAGGCATGCTTTTTTTCTTTTTGTTTTGTTTTTCGAGACAGGGTTTCTCTGTGTAGCTTTGCGCCTTTCCTGCATCCCGCTCTGTAGCCCAGGCTGGCCTCGAACTCACAGAGATCCGCCTGGCTCTGCCTCCCGAGTGCTGGGATTAAAGGCGTGCGCCACCACTGCCCAGCCTGAGGCATGCTTTCAATAATGCTTAGCCAGTGACGCGGCCCTCAGTGGACACCCCCCCCCCCCCCCGCCCCACTCCATGACGACAATAACAGAAAGCGGTCACCTGACTGTTGGCACTGTAGTCGCAACAGCCCATTTGACAGGTGAAGAAAGTGAGGCTTAGAGATGGAGGTTGTTCACTTGAGGGTGTGAGCCCATAAAGGACCTTCCAAAGGGTATTCTAGGGTTCAAGTCCCAGTTATGCTCTTCGTCACGTTCCAGGACCCCATGGTGTCTTGCACAGGACAGATGCTAAACAATGGAAACTCATCTTTCGTGTAACTCCTCCAGACATTCAGGTACCCAGCCTTGGGAGGTTTTTCTCATTCAAATATTTTCCATTAGCCTTTCTCTTATTAGAAGTTCTTGGGATTTATGTTCCAAATACGTGTAGATTGTTGATGCCCTTCCCTTGAGTTCTGAGAATATAAATTCTGCCAGTTGACTTTTAGAGAATACCCAGCAGGTTTTGGAAAGAGGGAGTCGTCTCTCCTGAAAACTTTATTTAAGATGGTGTCTTTGAAGAAGTGAGTCGTGGCCCAGTGCCACGCTACTGACTGGTGGCCTCCATCTGCTTGGCTTCTGCTGCCCTTGTTCCCTGGTTGGACACTGCAGCTGGGGACCACCCTCCACCCCTCCCAGCACCGTCCTTTCTCCTATTCCTGGCTGCCTCCGTTCCCATAAACATTTACTATTCTTTGTAGGCCACCTGGGATCTCCCATTTTGAAATCGACCCTACATTCCGAAAGCAAGTGTTGGGGTCTTTTTGGATCTGCCAAGTATCTGTTGGCTTTGAAAGGAGCAGGGGTGTTTCCTGATTGCCCGCGCTCAGCTGTGAGCAGAGGGCGTGTCTGCTTTGCAATCTATGGAGTGTTTTCCCTGTCCGTGCATGGATTCTTTGACAGGCAGGCGTGCTGCATTCGATTTCCTGTTGGTGGCTTGTGCCCTTTGAACACTGTGCTCTCATTCACAGTCCAGCTAGATCATCCTCTGTTTCTGTTTCTGTCACAAAACACCCAAAGACCAACAGTGTTGGTCAGAATCCAGAATGGCTGGTTGCTGAGTCCTGCCTTGTATTTTGTGGCTTGGGCTTGTCTTCTCTTCTGGAATAAGTGGTTAGTTCCTTCCTATTTTTTCCTTTGTTCTATAAATGGGGTTGGGGGTTATAAATAAGGAAATGGCTCTTCTATGGAAAGGAGCTTCCAGTCCCAGCTCTGTGTGGCATGTGGCTTCTGTTCCCAGTGGTCTTCACTGCTCGAAGAGGCCAGCTGGCAGAAGGTAACAGGTCCTTCATACAGTCTGTATATCGATGGCATGTGAAAGACCCTTCAGTTGTGTCTATGCTTCTTCGCTTAGCCCTGTCTTTCTATCATCTGTTGGAAATAATAACAGATGACCTGATACCTAATAGTTTTAGAATACGATCAAGCACATGTTTGATATAGTAGCACTCCTGTAAAATTAAGATCAGATTAAGATCAGGATTCTCTCAGGCTCATTTCCTTTGGCCCTTCATTGACTCCATGACCTCCTGTCATTCTGCCTATCTCTGGCTTCAGTAAGATCACAGGTTGTTCAAAACCCTATCTTTATTTATTCATTTATTTATTTATTTATTTTTTTGGTTTTTCGAGACAGGGTTTCTCTGTGTAGCTTTGCGCCTTTCCTGGAACTCACTTGGTAGCCCAGGCTGGCCTCGAACTCACAGAGATCCGCCTGGCTCTGCCTCCCGAGTGCTGGGATTAAAGGCGTGCGCCACCACCGCCCGGCTCAAAACCCTATCTTTGATGCTACCTGTCCTTTGTCCTGTTGGAAATTAGAATAGGCTTTCCCTGTGCATCCCACTCATCTTGCCTGGTCTTGATTGACAGTTGTTCACCATGGGTTTTAGCTACTGGTTTTTGCTCTGAGCTTCTCTGTATCGCTCATGGAATTAAATTAATGAATTACATGGGCCAGAAAACTTTCTAATGTCTGAGAAGCTTTAGTAGTGGTTAGGATTATTAAATACTAAGGAAGTATATTAACCAAGGCTGTTTTTCTGTGTACATTTCAAATTTTTTAAAATAAAAGGTTTAGGGTCCAGATTTCTAGGCTCTAGAAAGATGGCTCAGTGATTAAAAATGGCTTCCACATCAAGTGATTCTCCACACTCTTAACTTCATCTCTGAAGGCTCTGACACCCTCTTCTGGCCTCTGTGGGCACCTGTGTACTCATATGCGTGCACACACACAAACAAGTTAAAAGTAAAGGAAAGGGCCATGTGGTGGTGGCGGCGGCGCACGCCTTTAATCCCAGCACTTGGGAGGCAGAGGCAGGTGGATCTCTGTGAGTTCGAGGCCAGCCTGTTCTACAGAGTGAGTTCAAGGCCAACGTGGTGTACAAAGCGAGTTCCAGGATAGCCAAGACTGTTGTTACACTTAGAAACCCTGTCTCAACACCCCCCCCCCAATAAAATAAAGAAAGAAAAAATAAAAAGTTCTAGCATTGAGGTTATTTTACCAGAAAGCCATTGTAACCTACAAAAACCTGAGCTAGTTCCTCTACTTTAGGTGTGTCCTAAGAAAGTACTCTTGGATACCTGGAATACTGCTTATAATGTGAAAAACTAGAGATGACCAAGTATCTTAATAATAGGGAATCAGTTAAAAGGGAAAAAAAGGACTTGTACTGATTAATAATTGAAAACTAGTTTCCCCTTTTTAAATAAAAAATGAGTGTGCCTGTGCACATGTGCCTGCTGGGGTTGGTTCTCCTCTTCCACAACGGGTCCCAGGGATCGTCAAGTCCCTCCCTCTCCCTGCTGAGCCACCCCACAGGCACCTAGTTTTTCTCTTTAAAAAATGATGCTATAGAAAGCCTGGCTTGGTTAAAATTCATGTTGGTTAACTGAAATAAATCTATTTACAAATGTTACGTTCTTATCTGATTTTATGTCATTATTTGCAGAGAAAGGACGATTGGCATAGGTAGATGAATGCTGTTTATCTGTGACTGTTGAGATCATTAGTGATTTTTTACAGATTTGCTTTTGCCTAACTTCTGTGGGACAATCTTAACTTGATTAACACGGCTCATTGCGGTAAAAGTTGGAAGTGTATGCCTCTTCCAGTCATACAGTCTTTGGTTCAGTTATTTCTTCTGCCCATATCAAACGGTGTCTGCTCTCTAGGTCACAGTAACTCTTCATGAGTCGATGTCATTGTTTGGTGTCCTTTGGGCTGGACACCACAGTGATTTCTTGGCCTTGGCTGCCGAGCTTTTGTCTAGGTGCTGCTAGCTTGCACTCTATGGAAGGGGTAGGGACTGAGCAGCTTGGGCAGCTCTGGGCTAGCCTAGGCTGTATCATGGACTTTTACATGCAACCCTGTGTGACTTTGAACTGAAAGCTTTAGTTTGGGTGGTGAATATGGCCGGCTTCTCCCACAGGTCAGTGAGCATGTAGCATAGTGTGTGGGTCAGTGTAGGTGCGTGAGTGACGGTCAACAGGTAGCCATGCAGGTGTGCAGTCTGTAGCCCATATCTTCAGTCTGCACTGAAAAACCGAATCGTCTTTTATGATAATACAGGTTTCCTGCAATCTCACTGTTTGGGGGCGGGGCTGGAAAGTCATTTTAAGAATGATCTCTGTTTAACAATATCCGGCTCTGCCCTCTTGTCTCCCTTTAGTTTGCGGGCCCGGCATCGACATCCGCAACGACTACCAGCAGCTGAAGCGCCTGGAAAACTGCACGGTGATTGAGGGCTTCCTCCACATCCTGCTCATCTCCAAGGCTGAGGACTACCGAAGCTACCGCTTTCCCAAGCTCACGGTCATTACCGAGTACTTGCTGCTATTTCGAGTGGCCGGCCTCGAGAGCCTGGGTGACCTCTTCCCCAACCTCACGGTCATCCGTGGCTGGAAACTCTTCTACAACTACGCACTGGTCATCTTCGAGATGACCAATCTCAAGGATATTGGGCTTTATAATCTGAGGAACATTACTCGGGGGGCCATCAGGATTGAGAAAAACGCTGACCTCTGTTACCTCTCCACAATAGACTGGTCTCTCATCTTGGATGCAGTGTCCAATAACTACATTGTGGGGAACAAGCCCCCAAAGGAATGTGGGGACTTGTGTCCAGGGACCTTGGAGGAGAAGCCCATGTGTGAGAAGACCACCATCAATAATGAGTACAACTACCGCTGCTGGACCACAAATCGCTGCCAGAAAAGTAAGTGCGGAAACATGGGACTTCTGTTACCTGCTTCCTCCTCCTTTCCTCCTCCTCCTCCTCCTCCTCCTCCTCCTCCTCCTCCTCCTCCCCTCCCACCTACCCACCCAATCTTGTCAGGGCAGGGGAGGTTCTCTCACATTTCCACACTACCTGTGGAAGTGTTGTCTGAGGATGTTGAGGGGTTGGTCTTGGCTAGCTTTCCTATGTAGGTGGAACCTCTGAGAGTACAGGATTGGGCTGCAGGCTACTGTGGCTGCTGTCAAGTCTGGTTAGAAATGATTTAACTGTATTGGGGGCCTAGAAGTTTACTAATTTTTAGCTTGTCTGATGAGTAAAGAGACTTGATCTGCTTTGTAAGTCCCCCACTCTGGGCAAATGGGAGCTTCTTACAGGTCAGTTCTTATGTCCTTTGTGTAAATGGATATATAGTATCATCATCATCGTCATCATCATCGTTTTTGTAGAGCAAGAGTTCCTTCTCATGAATGAACTTGGAATATGGTTGAATAAAAGAGAAACATAGCACTCACCAGTGTCCTGTGAAAGTTACCTATGGCTCTCAGGACACTGATACCTAGGAGACCTGGTTTAATATGGAACACTTGATAGGTAGGAGGCCTATGTGCTAGTTTCCAGGAGTCCCTGGCTTAGTCTCTGCTTGAGACAGCTCTGTAAGAGGGTTTGTTTTTGAACCCTTGGGTTTTCATTTCTTTTCTTGTATACCTGTTGTGAAAGTCTTATGCAACCACTTAGTGAAGAAAACTTGAAAAACATTTAGCAGTTCAGGAGTCATGTGGTGATGCTTGAAGCTTGTTTGTTTGGCTACAGTACACATATTTTCTTTGTAGAATACCTGAACTCTTATCCTAATGTGATAAATGCCATGAGAATCAAGTTTTTTGTTTTTTTTTTAGCTAGACTGTGACTCAGGGCATTTACTTTATTGCATTAAATAATTCAATGATATTTAGACATAGTGGACAGCAAGGTTTCTCTCAGCATGTCAACTATTATTTAATGATTGACCCAAAGAGTCCATATACCCTAACTAGTTATGAAGAGGCCCCCCCCCAAAAAAACCCCACAAAACCCCCAAATTGTTCAGCTCATCTAATCTGTGAAGTGTGTATAATCAGCAAATGCAAGGTCAGCCCTCACACAGACCTGATTTTAACATCTCTTTAGTTGTGGTCAAAGTAGGAAGTCACACACTGTTATGCTTTCTGTAATATTCTCTCTCTCTCTCTCTCTCTCTTTCTCTCTCTCGTGTGTGTGTGTGTGTGTGTGTGTGTGTGTGTGTGTGTGTGTGTGTGTGTGTTGGAGAGGGGTTGTGGGTTGAGCTGTGTGTATGTGGGAGTGTGTGTATGAGAAACACTGGTCGGGGCCAGGATCCCACTGGCCAGTACCTTTAAGAGCTGAGTGGAAGATACTTTCCTGGTTGATTAAAACAATTCCCAATCTTTGTCTTAACTCTGGTTTGAAAAAAACAGTAATCTTTTTGGTTGTGTTTGAGATAGGGCCTCGGTCTAGTTGCGACTGGCCTAGAACCTGCTATACTTGAGTGCATGGCAGTTCTCCTGCCTCAGCCTCCCAAGTCCTGGGATTACAGGAATGAGTTACTTTGCCCATTGTAATAAATTTTTGTTTTTATTTATTTAATTTTTTAAAAATCTATTTTTAAATCTATTTTTCCTGCAAGTATGACTGTTCACCACAAGAATGTGGTTGTGGTATCCTTGGAGGGACCAGAGTTACAGCCAAGTGTGAGCTGCCATGTGGGTGCTAGAAGTCCAACCTGGGTTCTCTGAAAGAGGACCCAGTGCTCTTAACAGCTGAGTCATTTTTCCAGGCCCCTCCCCCCAATTTTGTTTTTAAAGTAGCCTTGGCATTTGAAAAAATTTTATCTTAAATGAGAGTCCGGGGTTACTGGACTGGCCAGCTCTTCTGAGCTGAAGCGAGTCCTGTTCCTAGAGCTGTCATGTTACCTTTAATGGTGACCAAACTAAGTCTAGACAAGCATTTCGGAAGCTTCTAAGCTGTACACAAAAGAGAAATGCTGTTTACAGCATCCTTAGATAACACCTGCTCAGCGATTCACAGAAGGCTTTGTCTCACCACGGCTTTTCAGTGGTTTCTGACTGGCCAGTTTCTGAAGAAGTTCAGGGCAGAGATAAGGCCTGTAGTGTGGGTCAGAGTCTAAGGTCTATAGCCAGAAATTACCAAGTTATTTAAATTGCATAGGCTATGGTTTCTTCATCTTCAAAATGTCACAGAACCTGCCTCCCTCGCAGAGTTGATGGAAGGTTAAAAAGAAAACAATGAAAAGCAACCAGGGTTAGAAATTGAGCCCTGGTGCCAGAGTGCCTGTTGACTGGAACTGATCTTCCCAAGGCTGTGCCCTGTAGCCTTTTCCTTGGCCAGCTGTACCAGTCCTGGTGACGTGTTTTGTGATTTCACAATGGCGTACGTACTTGCTTGAAATCGCTGAGTCTATTCAAGGATACTGTTTTCTTACCTTGTCCTGAAAACTCAGCCATGGTCACAGGTTTGCGTAGGTTTTTTTTTTTTTACTCTGCTAGAATTCTCTACTTCTGCATCGATTCCTGTACATTCTGTGCTGTCACAGGTGTCGTAGCACTCGCCACGTGTGCCCGAACTGTATGGCCTGCCTCAAGTAAGACCCCCTGTTGGTGTAAAATTTCCAGGGTGTAGTATAGGAAAAACCCTTGAAAGATCCCATGCAGGATTTTTTTTAAATTTTTTTAAAAAAATGATTCTATGATGCAATATGCTGTGATGGATATACTTGAAAAAGTAAAGTATGCTATTAAAGTCAGTTCACCTGCCTCCCTTTGCTTCTGGATGTCGCCACTAGAATGTTCGCAGTCCAAATGGCTGCCATTCTCTTTCCTCTGGAGAGTGCAGCTTCAGCAGCTTCCTCTGAGGCTGAGTTCTTTCCCTTCGTTGCTTCAATCATACTGCCTCTTCCTTCTCATCTCCGGCCAGAGCCCTTGCTCATCATTCAAGGAGCCAGGGCAAAGGCATTGAGTCCACAGAACGCCTTTTTGAAACGAATACGCAAAGAATTCCCTGAAGCCGTTTACTGCTGGATGGTGGCGGAAGAGGAGAGAACATCGGCTCGTGGAGAGAAAGACCGAGTGAAGCTGATGCTGTGGAGGGGAAGCACTGGAGCGTGCCTTGATGATGGGCTGCTCTTACCTGATGTCTTCGCCCTTCTTGGATCATGCCTGCTGGCCGGTGGTGTGGAGGAAGCCCACTGAAGAGGGGCCACTCTATTGGTTGCCTTCACTGTAAAATCTTTATGATTTTATGCAGGCTTGCCTTGTTCCTAAATAGTGAGGGGCCCTGAAGGAAATGTGTATGGCCTTTTTGCTTTCGTAAGGAAGCAGACCGGCAATGTCTCCACGTTTGATCATTGGTTGGTCCGCCCACTGTCCGCCTGTCTGTCCGTCCCTCCCTCCCTCGTTTTGAAGTGACTTCTACTTCTCCATCTTCCCCTGTGGTTGCTGCTTTGTCGGCCCTTTCTCCATCTAAGCTTGAGCAGCTGGTGGTGTCCAGTGGAACTTAGTCTGTCTGGGCTGCTGTGACACAATTTCACAAGCTGGGTGGCTTACAAACAAGGGATTTGTTTCTCACGGGGCCGGAGGCTGGAGGTCCAAGGAAAGGTGCTGACAGTTTCTCTGTCTGATGAAGGCCTGCTCTCTGGAGTCACCTCATCTGTTCCTTGCGTGTCTACGCAAAGTGGAAACGGGAAGGCAGCTTTCTGGTCTCTTTCACAAGGGCACTAATCCCGAGGGCTCCATCCTCATGACCTAATCACAAAACCTCACCTGTTAACACCATGTGATCAGATACTAGATTTGACATGTGAGTTTTGGAAGACATCATCATTCAGACCAAGGCGTGGCCAGGCTCTCAACCCCCTCCCTTTTCGTTGTACTTACTAGTCCTTTAGCATCCCCCTGTCCTTATCTAACTTGCAAATACCATCTCAAGTCCAGCCCTCTTTTGGAGCTTATTTTGTTTTTGTTTTTGAGACAGTTTCTCTGTGTGGTCCTGGCAATCTTAGTTAGGGTTTCTATTGCTGTGAAGAGACACTGTGACCATGGCAACTCTTACAAAGAAAACATTTAATTGAGGTGGTGGCTTACAGTTTCAGAGGTTTAGTCCATGGTGGTGTGCAGGCAGACATGGTGCTGGCTGCATCTTGATCAGAAGACAACAGGAAGTGGACTGTGACACTGGGAGTGGCTTGAGCATAGGAGACCTCAAAGCCCGCCTCCACAGTGACACACTTCCTCCAACAAGGCCACACCTCCTAATAGTGCCACTCCCTTTGGGGGGCGGGCATTTTCTTTCAAACCACCACACTGGCCATCCTGAAACTGACTCTGTAGACCAGGCTAGCCTCAAACTCAGAGATCCGTCTGTCTCCACCTCCCGAGTGCTAATATTAAAGGCATATCCCATCACCGAGCTTCTTTTTTGAGCTTTTAACCGCATCCGTTCATCTGAAGACCACCCCAGCAGCTGACCGTTCCATGGAATGTCTCCTCGCTTCTATGCTTTTTCTGTATTCCACCCATGGGGGACGGCACTGCTGTTCCCCTAGCTAATGATCAGTTCAGAAACGCTGACCACTAGGGCCTCTTTTGAGAAGCTTCCTTTTCTGATTGGACATCTACGCCCTTACCATCCCCAGTCCTGCTTCCCTCTGCCAGCCTCCACCCTGCTCACCACTTAGAGTGCCATAGCTCTTCTCCAGCCTGCTGCTCTGTGTCCTCCCACTTTACTGGGCACCAGTGACTGTCCCATCGCCGGGGTAGATGTGCCGTCCACTTGCACTTCGGTAGTAGCCCTAAGGAAGCTCCTTGGTGGTCCCCCACCCCCATTTTCCTGAGCCATGCAGTGATGCTGTTTCCTCCCTCCTTCATGCAACATCTTTGACACACTTTTCCAGTCATCTTGGTCTTGAC